ATACTTCTCCAACCATAATCAAGTAGAAGGGGGAGGGAAGATATTAAGAAAGATAATTATGGTGTTTTAAGAAAAACATGTCATATTTTTTATAATTAACTAACTTGCCTAACTTTCTTAATCTAATTAAATTAGTTAAATAGGTCTTATATTGATGACTAAAGAAGTACTTAATTAATTTAAATAAATTATTTAGTTCCAAAAAATGTGATATGATTTTTTTTTAAAACATTCATATGTACCATTAAACTATATATTGTTTTATAAGCTGGATAAATTAGTTAAAAAATAATAAATATGAGGAATTGAGAATCAAAATCAATTTTCTAATTAGCTCTCATATTTAAAATTAGATGAATACTTTTTAAAAATAAATATAATATTATTTTTTCAATGCCAGCGACAAAAAAATCTTTTTAATTATGAAGTATGAGTTTACAAATATATAATAAATATTAATTTTTTAATTCTAAGTATAAAACTCACTTTATAATATAAATTATACTAAAAAGTGGGTTTTATATTTAAGAACGAAGAAGTATAACAGTATAATTTTGTTAGGCTCTACTTAGTAAGTTGCAACCATCACTAGCTAAATAGAAAGTATGAGGCCTAACTTCTTAATAAATTAAAACTTTTGGTGAAATAAGCGAGAGAAATTTTTTTAATTCTCCGAACAGAAAAATTAACTCTTTCTTAATTCCCACTTATTCACAATAAAGTGATCCGTTAATTCTGTGTTCAGACAACGGGAAAACATAGTAACATATACTTCATTCGGATGATGAGAGGTTTGGTTTGGTTTGTTGGCGAAGGAAGTTTTCTGGTTAGGTTCTGCTGGCAAAAGGAAAAAAGTTTGGTTTGCTTTCCCATTTTAACGTACTAAAAGTAGTTGAGCTTTGTTGAGGATTTTTGGGTGACAATTACAAAACAGCCCATAAAAGTGAACGGTTTTGTGGAGGATCATGCGCACTTCAAAGAAGGTGAGTAATGTGAAGTTGCGCACCGTGTATTCTCGGGAACCCACCGGCTATGAGCATTTAGTGTGCACTTCTAAAAGCAACGAGGCATCTGGTTCCTAACAAAGCCTTGAAATATGATACTAGTAATAAGGGAAGGGAACGAAGCAGAAGAAGAAAATGAGTAAAACATTAATTAATGAAAGCGAGAAAGAAGAGGAACAAGTGCGGACTGAAGACAGTGGGTTGGCGTGAGGGGAGGCGCTAATAATTAGACAGCGGAACGAAACTTGTCTTTTCAGACGAAACCATGAAGTCCTTCAAACGAAGCGTGCGCCATGTGGAATGATCATCTCCCTAAAACCCACTTACACATGATAACTCTTTTTTTTTTTTTGGGACAAAAATCGAGAGAGAAGCTGAACAAATCTGTGACCGTTCAGCTCAACAACAATAACGGGGCGGGGACCCCGCAAGTAACGTTTCGTCCTGAAGAGGGAGAACGAAAATGAAAGCGTGATAGGTAGAAGATCATAAACATAAATGCAACCAGTTGACTTTACAGCACAAGGCAGTAAAAGAGTGCATCCATTAGTCATTTAGTGAGCATATTATGGAAGTGACGACCCCAATAATGGCCACCCGCCAACTACCCCATCCCATTCGATATTAATGAACCAAGTGCCACAACAACCCAGCTCGCCCAAAATTCCATTTCAAGTGTAGGTGTGGCAATGGAGCACGGTAGCGGGATCACATCTCACAGCAGTCAGGTCAGGTGTTGGGCTGGTGAACAGAAGCGGGCTTGATGGGCTTGGGATGATGCGGGGAGCCATGGCCATAGGCCTTCTCAGGAGTGCTCACAAGGGAGGGTCGCTTTTTAGGATCGGACTCACAGTCGTGGCCCAGTTCATGGCTTTGAAATTGTGCTCACAGTCACAATTTCAAACTCCCCGGCACCTCGCTTTTCACGTGCAGATGACCTGTTAACAACTCCGCATATTCATAAATTGACGAGACAGAGAATGGTGGTGGTGTTACCCGTGGCTATATGCACAACCGTAAGTGCCCATGACCCTGGGGGTGGTTGTGTGCGATGACGGGGCAATTCCCATCTGATTAATTAAACACAGGAATGGACGGGAGACGGATGAATGAAGGAAAAGTAGTCAACAAGTGGAGAAGTGGGATGTATAATAGACCCCCTCCAGGCTCCAGCAATATGTTGGAGGACTTGAAGTCCCGATATATAACAGGCTTCTCGGAGGCGCGCCGGAAGGCCAGGCCTCGAGCTGCTCCCATCCTATGGCGGTCTGATCTTAAGCCATGTGTCCCATGCAAGCGCCTCGGGTGCTCCTGCACATATATAGAGCGTCATGTTAGCTACTTCTTCATCGCTGCCTTTAATTAATAATTAGGATACACCCATCTCAAACCTACTCCCGAACAGGTGGTTCTCCTGGCTGCCCTTTTGCATTTGTACTCGTATTTCAGCACTCAAATCCTTGACATGTTTGAACATGAATATTATGTTATGACCTGTTGGGTTTTGTGTTTGACCGTGTAATTATGTCAAAATATGGAATGACATGTTTGCAATGTAGTATTTATATTTTCCCTCTTGAAATATTTCAAATTGTCAAATTGTAAAATATATTTGAAGTCCAAGATATTATAGATATTATACATACACACATACATATATATATCTATATATATAACATGTTTGGCGGTATTCTTCACATGTTATGGATAGGACGTTACCTCTCGGGGAGGGGAGCTCAGTAAAAAAATTATGTGGTGCATGACAAATGATCTCTGTTATAAGTTCAGATTACAAATGGGCATGTAGCAGTCAAGATTTTCTGCTTGTTCCCCATTGTCATTAGTTAAGGATTTGCATGTCAAATCGTTGTTCCTTTCTCTCAAACTCATACCAGGTGAGCACCCATGCCTCCAAATCTTAACATACATTGTTATTGATTTCTGTTATAGGCTCTTATTATATCTTTGCCATGTTTCAGTGAAACAGAAGGACCTGGAGTGCTATTTGCAAAACTTTGAATATTTTACGCATTTCACTGCGTTTTTATAGAGTTCATATCATGCGCGAATGTCGAGACATTGAAGGAGTAAATGTTAAGTGTTGTTCCATTTGCCGCAATTCTCTTAGATTCAGAGACTCCTGTGCTTTTTTCTCTTAGGAATGAGACAGGGAGCGATACAGATAGAGGGGCTATGAATCATAAGCGCTCAGCTTTTTAGCTCTATCTCTCTCACCATCTTTTTTGGACCTAAAACAGAGGCAAACAAAGTAACAGTCTACGTTTGCTCGTTTCCACTATACTTGAACATGCATCGCCTTGTTGAGTGCTGAAAACTACAAAACCATTGTTCAGCTCAAAAACTTCTCCATTAAGGTATTGTACATCAACATCACCTAACTCAGCTTCATCCGTACCGGATGGTTCCCATATGTGCCCAAAATATAACCGAAAAACAAAGAAGCAATAAAGAAACAGAAGACTAGTAAATATGAAACTCAGAAACTATCAGCAATTCTATAATGAAAAAAAAAAAGAAAAAGAAAAACCAGTAAACTACAAGTAATTTTCTCACGGACCAAGTTTGGAGACTTCCACGGATAGCAGTAATTCTACAATGACTTTTTTTCCCCCAACAAAAAACCCGAACCAAAAGCAAATCAAATTATACTAAGTAATTTTTACCCAGTTGACACAAAGCCGGTTGGAATAAAATGTACTTAAATTAACATTAATCCAAACATAATCAGAAAGATCATCTTTCATTGAAGAATACTTCTTCCAAATATTAAAAACCTTTTCATGAAAAGTGTATATTCAGTGGCTATCATGACTTTATGTTGCCTGATTATTTTAAAGTGAAAAACCACGGGTGTATCTGGAAAACAACCAGACCACTTAATCAATCCCAGAATATAACTATATGTAATCATGAAAATTGAGCTGCCAGAGGTAACCATGCCCCTCTGTTCATTATTTTTCAGAATATGGCCTAAAATTTTCTTGAAGGGCTTGTATGGTCTATAGAAGTAATAAAAATGAAATCATATGAAGTATTGATAACTGTAAATCTATTTGACTTGCTATTAAGAGAGTGTTTAGATATAAACCAAACCATAGTTTCAGAAGTGCTTTTACGGTTTACGAAATAAATATGTGAAGGAATTTACCTCGTTTTGCGGAAAATTGCTTTTAAAACCATGGTTTGGAGATTGCCAAACACCCCCTAAAAAGAATAAAATAATTCATTTTTATGTAATTGTATTAAATCACACAAACATGGAAACACATGGACTAAAAATACTCGACCACCGCCATCTAGCCCATCGTCAGTCACCCTCTCCTGCTTCTACCTCTCAGGTCCCACCGCCCAACAACAGCCAAAATCCAACCAAAAGCAGAAACAGGTTCAAAATCATACCGCCATCTAAGGATGTCGGAGGAGAGGACGACAAAAGTTGAAGACAGCAAGGTCGAGTTCAGCGAGGTCAAAGCAAAAGAAAAAAATGCTATAGAAGACGATGTTGACGCACCAAGTGGGGACGACAGAAACAAACATCGTTCGTGGCAGTTGACTCCAGGAGGGAAAAGGGTATGGTCGTCCACATCAAGATCCGGGCGAGCAGGAATAGGAAATGACTAGGCTTTTCCGAAGGAGCCCCCGTTCTATGAAATCTGGTTAATAACCTTTCCATGGCAGTGCAGATTTAGACCAAGACAAATAGATCATACGTGGGAATGAAGTCCTGATTACTAATAATTTAGCCTCACAGATTTGAACCAAACACTTGACCAAAAAGGAAATAAACAAACTAGTCCTAAGCGATCCGACGACCTATTGATCCGATTTATTTTAATTTTATTCCGCCATCATTAACTATTATGCAGCAGCGTTGCTCATCCTACATGATCTATGACTAATCCAAGCTCCCCTACAAGATGTTCCCAACCCACCCAGAATCGAACCAGATGATACAAACAGCATACCATCTCCTTGTACATGCTAAGCACTTTTCTTACTTTTATCTCAGATTTCATTTTTACAAAAAAGTAATAGAATTTACCTCCATGTATAGATTGTCAGAAGCATCGTTGGCAAAAAAAATATTAAAAAAAAGAAGTGGGAACCATTATGCATCTCGACAAAGGTTACTCGCATTAAATAAAAGATAAACATAATCAGCTCCCCCCCCCCTTTTTTTTGCCCACTAAGCTTCCACTTCTTATCAGTGCTTTGACAATTGCCAGAAGACACTTAAAGACTGCCTGACTTGAATTTAGTGTCCGGAAAATAATCGCATGCGAGAGTGACGATGGTTAGGGTTGGGGAGGGAAAGTAGTACGCTATAATCCACAAACTCGTCTCAGACATTTTCACACGCACAAATCAGATAGGGGCTTGGTTGGAATGGCGCGATGTAAGTGATAGCTGCCTCATGAATTTTAAGCCTATACAAGAACAGCTTCCATGCCCATTACGGTTAAGCAATCTGCAAGAATAATTTTTCACTACTTGAAGTAATATCAATACAATTCAAAGTATGGAAGACGGCTGCTTACAGTTTTGGACTGACATGGAAATATCTACTCAAAATCTTAGGCGGAAGTTGACCTCAGTCTTGAATTTGATTCCTCCAAACAATATTGGTCCAGTTGCGATGGCGATCGACGTGGCAGACATTGCTCCCCACCTTTAAGGACTTCTGAGGCTTTACTCTGCGAGTGCAAGTATTCCAGTGCAACAACAATATCACCAATAAGTGGGCGGAAATTCGGTTGCTCTTGCAGACACATTGCAGTGATAGCAATCGCATGATGCAAACAGCGCAAGGGGAATTGTCCGTCAAGACGAGGATCAACCAGCTGTACAAACTTGCTCCGGTCCCTGAGAAACTGTCGAGACTGCAAGCAACCAGAGTTGGGAAAAAAAAGTTTCAGAAATTGAAATTTTCCACGTAAGGAAGGGGAATATAGATACAACCATACAGAAAGCTTAAAACATGTATTGCCATGCCACAGAATCCCTGTGGAAAAAAGGGAATCGTGGAGATAGCAGGCATTTTAAAGGAAAAACACTCCATTTTCTACCTACTAACATTGATTACAATTCAAAAACACGTTATCTATACCAGAGAAAAGATTTCAGAAGAAAGAATTAATTTAAAACTTCCACGTCTCCTCCAAGAAGGGGAGAACCTATCTTTTAAAAGACCAAACATTTACCCATGCAACTAAGTTTTGCTCCCCCGGCTTCTTACTGACATCTATTGCCCTTCGTCCAGTAATCAACTCCATCAAAACCACACCAAAGCTATAGATATCAGATTTAAGAGTCAGTTTGCCACTCATGGCATATTCTGGGGCACAGTAGCCATATGTTCCCATCACTCTGGTTGAAACATGAGTATTGTCTCCAACAGGACCAAGTTTAGCAAGCCCAAAATCTGAGAGTTTTGGGTTGAAGTCATTGTCTAATAATATGTTTGCAGATTTCAAGTCCCGATAGATAACAGGAGGATTTGCTTTACAATGAAGGTACTCAAGCCCTCGTGCAGCTCCAACAGCAATCTTCATCCGATCATTCCAACTTAGCAGCTCTTGGTTTGGTTTTATATCTGAAAAAACAGAAATGCACACTAATTCTGGGCAGTATCTGATAATTTCCTAATAGTGTATGCAGACTATTCAAACTGATGTGCCTGTTTTCCATAAACATTATAGAAGATATATCTAACAAAACCAGCAGAAAGAGGGAGAAAGGGTAAGCAAAAAGGATGAATGTTTTCACGTTACCATACATCTTAAAGTTGCTTCAAAACAAAGTGGAGAAATTCAGTTTCTAAAAATTTAGAATCATCAGTTCAGTGATGCAAAAACCCGAATAGAAAAAATTTTGATACTCTGTTGCGGAGGTGCAGAAACATCAAAGTTCAAACCATTCCCTTCAGTGAACAAATCAGCAACCATTTGACACGACACAAGTTAGAAAATGAACGATGCAGTTGTTTCTTTCTATCTTGGTCTAGATGTACTGGCATCATTGTCTTTGAATAGGCCCAAAATATGGTTGTCATTCACATTTGTAGTCCTATTATTAGTATTAAAATAACAAGAAATTTCACGCGGAACGTCAAATTGGCAAGAGTTACACGTAAAAGAAACACATTCCCCACAAACAAAGGCATAAGGACATGTTATACATCCTCAAATTCAAATGAAAATGACCTCGCGAGGATAAACTAATGATCTAATATTTTCATCAGAAAATATTGGGTTTTTGTAATCAAGGAGCATAGTTGCGTAAATTACTAACAACAACACATATTAAACATAACGGCTGAATTAATGAACAGCAAAAAGGAAAGTACCAACCAGGTATGGCAAAATATCAAAGGAAAGCAACCCCTACGTGCTTAAGTTTTAACAAAATCCTTCATAGGACATGTCAAACATTCAATCACGTAGCCATACAGAAGATTGGAATTAGAACCTCCAAATGACAAGAGGTGCAGAAACAAAAGAAAGAAGAAAAGAAAGTAATAAGATTACCAAAAAGATGATCTTCCAGGCTACCCATAGGCATATATTCATAAACCAAAAGCCTTTGATCTCCGTCGGTGCAGTAACCAAACAAGGTGACAAGATTAGAATGGTGTAGCAGGCTTAACATGAGAACCTCCACTATGAATTCCTGAAAACCTTGATGACCATCGTGATTTAACTGTTTGACAGCAACAAGCTGCAAATAGAAAATAAGCCATAAAAATAATCTGCAAGCCCCAGCAACAACATGGAATATTCAAAAGATCGGAGTCAGACACATTAGAAAATCAGAAGTTAAAAAAAAAAAAAAGGGTTTTGAAAAGGAAAACTGCTAGGAGGCCTGTGAGGAGGTGATGAAGGAAAAAGAGATGGAAGCGTGGCATGCCTGGCCTGTATCAAGACGACCTTTGTAAACCCTTCCAAAACCTCCTTCCCCAATCAAATTCACTGGCTTGAAGCCCCTGGTTGCCGCTGCAAGTTCACGGAAAGTGAAACTACGGGCAGCACTGCTTTTTGGGCTGCCGGCGACGCCATTCTTCCCCTTCCCATCATAGGATCCTCCCTTGCTTCTATCGTCTGCAGACATTACATAATCAACAAGATCCACAAGCCAACGGGTGGGTTATAAATAAAAGAAAACCCTTACCGCCACTATGGGCATGAGATTTGGAGCGCCCAGTCCCTGCAAAACCCGGATGCCTATTAAAACAATAGGCAAAAAAAAAAAAAAAAAAGTCTGGGAAATGGAAGAATAAAGGAGAGGGGAAATGAATGAGACCGGAAGAAGAGGTAGATCGAGGAGCATTATCAATTTGGATTCTGCTGGCATCTGAACGGCGATGACTAATGCAAGAGAAGCAGCTCATCTCCCAATCATACGGCTCTTGCTTTCAAATAATAATATTTGAAAGAAGATGAAGATGAAGACGGAGATGAAACTCTTCTCAGACAGACTCAGAGAGGATTTTGGCTCTCCCGTCTTGCACCTCCAGATCAACAACGGCTCACTCCTCCCAAAATTAGTCCAAAAATTCCCTACAAAAAAAAAATCTTTTCCCAATTCACAAACAACCCAATCTGGCGGCTTCCTAATTTGTGGTGTAATAAAAATCGGGGGAATGGAATTCACGCGTGAAGACGAATCTGCATTTTGTAAATGGCTAACGCCAAATTTGGACGCAAAACCCATTTAGCGGCATGCTGAGCGGAACAGACTCGACTATAATAATAAATGATGATGATGATTGCGGCTTCTCAAGGAGAGTTCTTAGTTCTGACTAATACACACCAGTGGGAAATTTAATTGATGCTTAATAATTTATTATCTCACCATTAAAAAAGAGCCAGAAGATATCATAAAAATAAAATGAACGGAATCAATGTGAGAGCATGATTATCGGGGGTCGCTGTCCATCTTCCAACCCTTTTGTGTATTTAAACGTTACGGTCCCGGCATCAGAAAGGATGGTTTTGTCATTTTATCATTTTGCCCCCGGGCTGCTTGGGCCCCTTTACATTCCCACTAAATGCCTAGCTTGGGCTGGCCTGGCTTTTCCTAATGTGCATACTTTTATTTTTTATTTTTATTTTTAAGGGTGATAAGCGTGACACTACCCTCTCTCTTTTTTTACAGGCCTATTTGGTATGAGGGAGGATAAAAAAGTTTTAATGTTATCTTATTTGATTTGATTAAAAAAAAAAAGAAAAGGATATTGAATGATCCCTTATCTGACTCAAGAGAGGGAGGGGAGAGATAATAACAATCAATTTATCATTTTACCTTTATATATTAGTTTATATTTTTATTTATATATTATATAACTTCATTTACATCTTATTTCAAATTATATAATTCAATAAATATTCAGTCTTATCATATTAATATGTGTATTTCAAAATTAGTACAGTAATTTTTTATTTTAATAAATATAATAATATAATTTAAATAATCAAATTAATAAATTTTATATGCTCAGGAAAAAAAGAAAATTTTCCCTCTCTATTTTTTTCCCAACTTTAAAATATATTTTAATTAATAACATAATATATTTGTGAAAATTAATTCACTTTGTAATAATATAATTTTTCATTGCAATAATTTTTTTATTTTAAATTAATTTTTATTACTCCTCCGGTCTTTAATATAGGACCCATTTAACTAATTTGATTAGATTAAGAAAGTTAGGTAAGTTAGTTAATTATAAAAATTGTGACACGTTTTTCCTAAAATACCATAATCATCTTTCTTAATACCCCTCTCTATCTTCTACTTGATTATGGTTGATAGAGTATCCATGGGGTAATTTAAAAAAATTGATAAATATGATAAATGGGTCTTATATTTAGGACCAAAACCAACTCAGCAATTGGGTCCTATATTAAAGACCAGAGGAGTATAATATATTTTTAATTATAATAATATTTATTTTATTTTTTCTTATGATAATATATTTTTGTCTAAAATAAATATTATAATAAATATTTTATAGGCATCAATGAAATATCACAAAAATATGAGGGCAAAATGGTCTAACATTTTGGCTCCCTTCCAAAAAACCCCAATTTGGAAGGAAGCCAGAATGGGGATATGAAAGGGAGGGGAGGAGAGATTTCAGTTTTCCTTCCCTTCAAAATTTCTAACCAAATGAGGGGAGGGATTCATTTTCTCTCCCCTACCCTTCTTTCCAACCAAACACACCCTATGTCTCCATTTACATCCCAGATCAAACAATTCACTCTTGCTTCTCACTGAAAGAATTTTTTGTATGAATGTATAGTTTTACCCTTAATTTATTGTTGCATTGACTTTGTTTAGATGAAGTATAATGTATATTAAATAGAAATAAAGTTAAAAAGTTATTAAATTTTAAATTAAAGTTAATAAAATTTAAGATTTTTCTTTTGTCTGTATGAAATATGTTGGAAGTGACTTATAAATAGAATTAGAAGAATAACATTTTTCAGTTCTCGTGTGATGATTTTCATAATCTGGAAGTTTAGTTGAAACTTGAAAATTGCAAATGATGCAAGGGTAAAATTATGAAAGCACCAGGAAAAAAATCTTGTAAACTTGAACGTCCTTTATTTTACACTACCTCTGGTCCTTAATATAAGATCCGTTTGACTTTTGTGTTGGTCCTAAATATAAGACCCCAATCTATTTTGTCTCTCATATTTACTCAATTTTTTCCAAATAGTCCTTCTGATAATTATAGTTTTGACCAACATACTTGATTAGTAAGGATATTTTAGGAAAGACAACATCTATTTATTACAAATAACTAACTTAATTTTTTTTCTTAATTTTCTCAAATTAGTCAACTGGCTCTTATAATTAGGACCGGAAGTAGTAAGTCACTATGTTCTCTGTCCATAAATTATATCTTATTTATCAAACAAGGAATCATTTTTAAAATTTATAGTCAAAGTGTTAATACGTGTGTGTTTTCAAGTTGTCAGGCGTCATTTTTCCCTGTTACAAAATTTCCTTAGACGTGCAGCATGCCAATCCCAATTTCGATGTGGAGAAGTGGAGATGTCAATGGACACAATATCACTCCCAGAAATTTTTGGACAACACAAAAACTTTCACCCGCTTTTTCCCAATAGACGACTATAATGGCCCTTTTTCTTTTTTCTTTTTTTTTAAAATTCTCTTCAGTTTAAGAGGCAGTTTTAACTAATAAAATTTATAATTGATAATAACCTGTGGATCTACGTTTGCGCCCCTTCATTCTCTAGGTGATTTGTGGAGCATGCCATTTAAACATGACAATCACAAACGCGAGTTGTTGTACGCGGAGGCATTTGATGTATACGAAGATTAAAAATGCTTGTACAAATCAAGTCCCGAGCTATCACATATTGAAAGCGATGTTCTTTAGGATTCATAGTCTGGCTTTTAGAAAACGTTCCCCAGTGATGCAACATTGGTGAAGCTGTCCACTGTAAGGCCCGTTGCTAGTCGCGGTGGCTCCATCAGAGCATTCAAACTTGCAACACCTGGGAAGACTGATGAGCTGGAAATTAGATTCATCAATAGGGAAGTGAACAGAGTTGCAGATTTCCTAGCTAAAGAAGGCTTATCCAGCTCCTCGCTCTTAGATTCGTGTCCTCCTAGTTTGCGTTCGTTAGTTGCTACTGAGTGTATGGGATTCAGTCCCCTGGTTGGCTAACTTTTAGTGTTTCGGGCTCTGCCCTCCTTTGTAACCAAAAAAAAACCTTGCAACACCTCGGCAGTTTACAACAAGTCAATCAAAATTTGACTATCATAAAACTCATGAAAATAGTTCTCACGTCGTCATTTTTTTCCCTTTCACTTGGCGTGAACATACAGATCGAACCCACAACATTAATTATGCCATTTCATGTTGAATGCTTTCTGATCTAATATTCTCCAACTACATATTTTTCTCTCCTATCATGCCCCAGATAGAATAATAATAATGAGGAACGTGAACTTATATATTTTTTACAAAAGAAATTCCCATCTCCCAAGGATCTGCTACACAAAGCGAACTCGCATTGCTCAGTGATCCACAATTCACACTACATCTACCAAAAACTAAGAAACTTCCGTGATAATCTTGGGAGACCATAAATTCATTTCAATAGCGTGAAAATGATGCTCTAGTGTTCAATGCCGTAACTATACAAATAGGAAACTGAATTTGCGGTACAACCACCAATTACAACCACCGCCTCAAAGCCACTCCCCATTCTAAGTCAAATGTTTAAAATGGTCCAATCTTTCATTCTGTTTCATTAAGCTCCAAAACTTTGATGGAACAAGTGAGAATAAATAATCCACCATCAAAGCTGGAGTGCCAAATTGGGCTGCAGATGAGAACCAGTATCCACACTGGAACTAGATGCATTTGTTGCTCCAATCTTCCTATTTAAATCATCAGCAATTGACAAAGAATTGTGTTTCACAGGAATTATCAATGGTTTGACAGCGAGCCCTTTTTGAAAATCAGAGCCAGATTCCTCCGCCAACATATTACTGGAATCTGATTGACCAAAGTCGTTTGAGATTTGGGTCTTTGCGGGTGAACTCATCTCTGAAGGCATCAAGCAGGCAGCAAAGTTGCCAGTTATACCCTTGTCAATCATTCGAGAACCATCACCCGAACTTGGCAGCCCGGTTAAGTCAGAAAGGTTTACCATCCTCATTTGAGGTGAAAAATTAGGACCTAGCCGGTCATTTGAACCTATTACATCGTCAGAGCGAACAACAGAATCCTGCTTAATCCATGAAGGAACCACATATTCAATGCCAGAATCAACACTGTTAACTGAATTAAGCTCATTTTGAAAATTCAATCCTCTAATTGATTTCACGTCTCCACTTTGTAAGCATGATTTATATCCACCAGAAAACGAGCCAGATGGAGGAAGAAATCTACTTGAACGATTGTCTGGCACAAAAGCGTCTAAAGATCTATCCTGGTCATAAATTGCAAACTGTTGGCTCTGTGACACCTCATCTTCTCCTACCCATCCAGGACCAAATTCTTGTCCTCCTGGTAAAACACTGCTGATTTTCCTTGCAGCAATCTTCCAAACAACTGGACCAAGATCAGCAGCAAAATGGGCCAGGCTTCTCGTATAGCTATGCTTCACAGTTAAACCCACCTGATTTAAATTACAAAGACAAGAAAAAGAAGGGCTAAACTTTATCACCGAGACAAAAGCCGTCTAAATAAAATGGTAAATAATCTTTAACCATTTCAACAAGTAAAGATGGTTGTTATGAATTGAAAAGTAAAAGCAATTGGAGGGTACACAAGGTATTTAAAGTATCATCCTTCTATGGTAAAACAGAATTATGAACAAAGGCGTAACCTAGCACTACTATCTGCATCTGTGAAAACTTAGCAATGGTTTACAGATTTCCAGCATCTGGTTGGGGCAAATGATTTTTTTTTTTTTTAAAAATGAAAAATAAAATAAGTTTGTACCGCGATTAGTTTTTTGAATTCTTCTTCAATTGTAGCCAGTACTGGAGGTTCATCCTCAGTAGCCACTAGATGCTTGTACGTTTCACGCCTGGTCTCGTCAACCATGAATTGCTTCTTTCCATATCTTAAAACAGCTTTTAAAACAGAAGCTGCAAGGAAAATAATGAAAAAGAAGCAAGATTTACAATAAATGAGCCATGTACAGCTCTTATTTTCTGTATCCAAACTGAAAGGGAGGGGGCAAAAGTTAAAGGAATAGACCCTGACCTGGAAATTCATTCTCCCATTCAGACAACCAATTAGTATATCCCGTACTGTTTAAGGTGTTATGTGAAGTCCTGGCTAATGAATCTGCAGGCTGGAACTTACCTGTTCCTTTTCTCAAATTATAACTGTTAGGGCCGCCACTGCCATTATCTCCTCCCGAAGCAAGTGTTACATCTGAGGAAGAATCAGGAGCGACGCACTCAGAGGGAGACATTCCCAACGACTTTCTTGAATTCTTGCCTGGCGGCCTACCTCTTCTCACAATTTTGGGCTGTGGTTCACTATCATCACTATCCTGCCTCAGATTAGCAAAGTCCTTCCTGGCCAACTCTTGCATTGCTCGGGCCTGAGAAAAGATTCAGTCTTCAAGTCACAACAAACAAATGGCAAATATACGGATAGGGAAGAAAATACTACACTACAGCTTCAGACTTCCCCAAACCTGCCGGTGATAAATAGTATCTGGTGCATTATATTGCATTGCATTTGAACATATCAAGAATACATCTTTCTGCAAGAATGAAGAAGCAGCGTGTTCAAATTCCTCTAAGACTAGATAGAATCTACACCACATACTAAAATGTAAAGGCAAAAAGTGACAATTAACTTATGGAAGACAGCATTTGCTTATAAATGACAAACTACCTGTGTGATGGAAAAGCAATAGCTAGTCATGAAGAATAGTAAATGTATATTTTCTGCCCCTATATCCTTAAACGATTGTTCTTTTGTTTTAATGATGATGTTCTCATCAGAGGAAATAATGCATCTGATATAAGATCAAGCAAAAACGGAAAGTAGAAAAATGCACGCCACAGTTAGAGCATATTCAATGAATTAATTAGGCTTCATAAGAGTGACCAGCAATTCTTTAATCATGCCCGTTGAGTCAGCACAAACGTCATAAAGACATAAACAGAAATAGAGGGGAAAAAATATCATTCATCATTCAGGGAACCAGAAAGTAATCACTGGGAGGAAAAGAAAACAAAATCGTTCCACCATACCACCAACCTCAAATTGATCTAAATTGTTATAAACTCCGCCATCCAATTTCTTCCTCACCGTTGCAAAATCCATCGGGTGTTCAATGATATCATGATAATCAGGAAGCTGTAGCAATAAAGATGCTTCATTATAAGCGTAAGTAATGGAAACTAAAGCACTCAAATATTATTCCAAAAGATGCACCTCTTCTGGATCCACAGGTTCTGAGAACACTCCGTGGGTATCTTTTCTGCAATACAGTAGGATATAGTCGAATTAATCAATCGCGACAGAGAGAAGAAGCCAAGACAATAAACACCAAGACACGCACTTTTGAAGCCTATCAAGTATAAACACCAAGAGCTTTTTGTCTGGCAAAGGTGTAGTGGGGCCGGACTCCCCCTGCGAACCTGTCAACACATATTATTAAAATCACCATTAATATTCCCCACCAAGCCTTTGCAGCAGCAATTGGGAAATGATTGATAGGCTCATACCATGCTTACTGTCCGTCGCTTTCGGAACCTTTTCACTCTGCAAAATTAGTCCATTATCAAATACCAGAAAATATCTTTAAAATGGCAATGGATGTACGCGATTTTCTTTAAAACTTATTATAAGTTTCTCGGGATGAGAATCGAAATTCAATGGGAAAAGCAACAGTAAAAAGCTCCAAGCAGCAGCTGGAGTACATGTGGGCAGAAGAAAAAGGAGAATTTAAAAAAGAAAAATACTGAGTATACCAATAGATAAGACAAACTGAAGCTTTTTGGGCATATCTGTGCATTCCATGGGTCGACGACTGCTCAATTTAGTACGACCAATAAGGAATACATAAATAATGAAGATTTAAATTAGGGGAAAAGAAGAGAGAGAGAGAGAGAGAGAGCCCCACCCAAATTTTCCCAAAACAAAAGCACCTTAAATAATACCGAAACTTGACCAGTCAAACACATCCACTCCCTCCCAAATCGACGAGGAGACCGTAAAAATTTTATAAGAGCACGAAATTCCGAACGAAACAAATCTCATATTGTAAAAGTCATTCCAGGAAAATCCCGTGAAACGAAATCGACGGTGTTAAAGGGGATTAATTTAAGAGGTGAATGCAAGACGATCACCGTTTCATCTGATCCTTGATATGTGACATTGATCCTGCGTCTCTTGCGAGGATCCTCGGGATCGTGACCGTCCTCATTCCAGTTAGTGCCGTACGGCTCCGGACTAACCGGTGATAATGCCGAATAATGATGATGAGAATTCAAACCAACCAAGAGCTTATGCTTTTTCTCTTTGCGCTCGTCGTCGTCGTCATCGTCAGCAATCCCCTCTTCAGTCGCATGCCTTAAACCAAGAACGGAGTTTCGGCGGGTGGGACGACGGTTTAGGTCAGAATGTGAATTGATTAATTTCGGGTTCTGTAGTTGCAATTGCTGTTGTTGATGTTGCTGTTGTTTTTTAAGAGTGCGCTTTTGAAGATCTAATAGAGATGGGCGTCCCTTCTTCTTCCTCTTCGTCATCGTTTCAGATACCTCGCCCATTTTCCTCCTCTTTTCTCGCACTCCAAACACCCCCTCCTTTTTCCCCTTTTTCATCTCGAATTGAAATTGAAATTAAAATAAAATGTGGACATCGCAGTTTGCGCGTGAAAATCACGTGACCATCCGGGAATGAATTTCATTTTCCTATATTTATAAAGTATAAAAGGAAGACAAATTAACTAATATTAAATACTTTCTTAAAAGTGTACAAACTAACTAGATAGGAGCATAAATTTTTAATGTGGGACGCCCATTTAATTGCTTAAATACATTGTCATCTTGCAAAAACTACGTACAAATCTCACTTAAAATTAAAAACTACATAACACAATTCCCCCATATAAGATTATATTTCTATCCACTTATTTATTAATTAACAGTCAAATCATATCCTAAATCAAAATGTCCCTCTTTAATATAAATTTTGAACATAAATCATTTAGGTTACCAAAAAACTACTTTTATATATAATCCCCTAATCCTATTTATCAATCACTTATAACATATTTCACACAAATTAAAAAAAACCTTAAATTTTATTAATTTTTATTTAAAAATCAATAACTTTTCAACTTTATTCTTATTTTTAATATATATTATATATCATGTAAACAAAATCAACATAATAATAAGTGAAAGATAAAATTATAAATTCATACAAATTTTTTTTTTCAGTTTTTATAAATAAGATCAAAAAATATATTCTCTCCCTGCCTTATAAATGAGGCCAGAAAAGTATACTTTTAAATTTTTAATTGTACAAATTTATTTGTTTAGTATTTTTTTTAATTTATATATATGTGTGTGTTGGCTAAATAAGCATGCATGTAAGGAAAATATTTTAATGAACTAGGAATTTTGTATAATGGAGGATAAGTTTTAATTTAGATTTTAGTAATTTTAAGATAATTTATGTTTATTAATTATAATATTTTATAAAAAATTCACTTCTATATTATCAAACTTGATTACTTTTTTTTTCCCAAATGGAAAAGAGGTAAACCATTAGATTATGAGGCCAAATAAATAATTTTAAATTTTTAGCCATAGCTTCAGCAAATAAAATCAAGTATTTTAGAAGTTATAACAAAACACTTTTAGCAGTGTTAAAAAATTGAATTAAAGTCTGTGTTTTAAAAATAAAGGGGAGTTCTCTACAATTTTAATAAAATAGAAGGGAAGTCATTGTATTTTAGTAATGTTTTTATTTTATCAGATATCGAGTACAATATTTGTTATAATTTTTTTGGTGTCATATTTAATGTGTCTACGATTAGTAGATAAATAACTTTCAAGGATCTTTCTTCACGCATTCGATTGATAGAGCATATTAATTATTAATTAATATAATAGAAGTTATGATGCAATGGGCATATATATAATAGGATAGTTTCACACTAATTTTAACTCATTTATTAATTAATGCACCACAAATGCATTTCTATTTATATAGCATAAAAATAAATTAAATATTAACGAAAAATTGGTTCTTGCACCGCTAGATCCCTTTGGATCTCGAGTTCGAGTTCTAAAAGAGACATTTTTGTAAGGAAGGAAATTGAATTAATAGCAGATAATATAAACTCTAAATATAAATTATAAAACATTAATTTTCATGCACGTTATACAATAATATAAAAAATAAATGATCTGAAAAATACTTAAAATTAAAACAATTTTTTGGCCAAAAATTAAAACACGATTAATGGCAAGATAACTGATAAACTCTCTAGTCTCTATTCATATTTTCATGCACGCGGGCACGTATATATGTCGATTTACAAAACCTTTTCCCTACTTGACCAAAAAAAAAAAAATCATCTTGCTCATGTGTCAGAAAATTACCTCTCAACTGCTTATTATTAATCCTCTATAACCATTAAAAAAAAATTAATCCACTATAACACTAATCAACGAGTCTCGTAGTTCATATTAAATTAGGTCCTTTAGTGAAATGTTTTAAAAGAACTCTCTATGGTTCAAGACATTATCAAGGTTAAGACAAAAAATGAAAAGAAAATGGAAAAATGACACATTGGTGCATTTTAGAAAAATGATGACAATTAAGAACTTCAAGAACTAAAAAGATTAATTGAAGATTAAGGCTCTTTATTCATTTTTCAACGTCATGGATACAAATTCCTGACAAAGGAATATAATGATTTTCAGAAACTTGAGAGTTCGATTAAAAAAAAAAACCCCACAAGTCTTCATTGTAAAAGATGAAAAGTTAGTTCGAAGCAAAACTATACACTCCAATTTCATTTAATAAACTATAGGTGCAAAGTGTTTAATTATCAAATATTTATATGGAGCTAACAATTTTCGTGTCAAATATTCCTTTGATGGGTTTCTATCTCTTAAAATTAATATGTATAGGTTTTTTTGGGGTAAAATAACATGTACAGTTTTATATTAACTAATGATCTTTCTTTTGTTTTTTTTTTTAATACGTATCTTCTTATTAAAACAAATCTGTTTGAAATACTATTAGACACTAAATATAAATACATTACAAAATATGAGTACCTCTTTAAAAAAGAATACAAGCATTAATTCACTACGTTATAAGAAACTAGCCTTTTATATTAAAATCAACCCCTGTTAGTTAACTAATGATTTTTCAATTCTTATAAATTTCTACATATAGGACCAAATACTTTTAAAAAACGTTTTTTTACAAATCAAAACAAATTCTTTTATATATTTACTTCACATATTATAAAAACAATTTTAAAACTATAATTTTAGTTTTACCCAAATACCCTCTAAATAGAGGCATTCTATCCCATATTTTTTTGAGACCTTGATCTTGGTTAGCATTTTCAAACTTTAGGATGCATTGTGATCTTTTTTTTACGAATGTAGTGTTTGAAAACCCTAAAAAGCATTTTTAAAAAATATTTTATGTAAACCAAGATAAAATACTCTCACATACCAATCTGGAACCCCATGAAATCTCTTTTAAAAAGTCTATACAAATACCGTTGTCATCTTATTTTACATGTTTTTAAAGTGTTAAGGCAGCACTGGACTGCGGACTCCAACACCCCTCCAAGTGCAGGAGAGTTTCTTCGGCCCAATGTCCACAATTGGTTTAGAGCCCAAGTGCCAAAGGGGATGGTCGGCAAGCCTTTCATTATCCATCACACTATTTCTCATCCGTGTCTGCCTTTTTATGCTTGCCCAAAGAATTTCACAACTCTGGCGTACAATGATTGTAGGGGAATTAGCTCTGGAATATTATAATTTGGGCATTTAGCCCTCCTTCAGTACCCCAAAAAAAAAAAAAACCATGAATCGCCAAGTAAATTTGCCCATTCGTATTGGTTTGGTGATGCGGGATTTGAGCAAGTGATGAACAAAACAGAAATGCAAGCTGCGGATTTTTCAAGGACAAATATATAAATGAAGTGGCTGGTTGAAGTATCGAAGTCTTCTATACCAAAATCAACCTTCTGCATTGTTGCTATTGCACTCTTGGCGGTGAGGCGTCGGACATAGGCTTTATGCTTCTAAGGTGCCACAGACGATTGAAACAATCAAACATCTATTAATGCTTCTAGTATTGAGCAGTACTAGTCATTTTATTGCGTCGTGTTATATTTCATGCTACATTACCCTGTATACCTGTAGTCAGATATCATAAAATAAAACCAACTTAAAAAACAAGCAAGCAGACTAGCCTATTTTCCATTCAGAGCTCACCATGTTTTTAGGTGTTCTGATAACCGCTCGTGCAAATCATGATCAAGGCCTACTTAATGACAGCTTCAGCGGTCAGTTCCTACTACTGTAAAATTGTAATTACCATTACCAGTTAACCCCTAACGCTCAGTCCCCACATTTCTTTCGACAGGGACTAGCAGAACTTGCTGTACGGAAGGCCAAACGTGACGGGGTTGTATGATCTGCTATTTGATGCCAATAAGGAGAAATAACAGTTTTATATCTTGTATTTGAGGGGGGGGGGGGGAACAGTTCTATATCTTTGAACCTAACCAGCAGCCATAATACAAGTGCCTTTGACAGCCAAAGTAAGATTGCAAGTTGATGATCCCATTAAATAATTTACCGGAAGCAGTCCCCTTAAAGAGGACGACATTACTTCTAACTTCCTCAAAAAGCTGAGGGTAAAATCTAACTCAGTACAGAATGATCAAGTCCCAGACTGGTGCCTTCCAAATTCTGAAATCTACATCTCAGTCCAAAAAATTCTGAAATCTACATAATGAAAGGCAACCAAGTGGCGTAAAATCAATTGCAAGCAAAAACTATTCAATTTTTTCTTTTTAATTTTTAAAAGGCATCTTTACCTCATTTGTCCACATAATTCCTATCTGATTATTCACAGCTCAATTTTCATTTTTTGCTCCTACCTTGGCCTTCTGCATTGGGAGTAATCCTCATCTTGGCAATCTCTGCGGCATGTTACAAATATAAATGTCAATTTTGACACGACAGAGTGCCTATGACTTGAATGCCAGTAAATTTATTTGAAATCTGACCTTTGATTTTCCAGTCTTCAAGACTCTTGACTCCTCAAATTTGTCAAAAGAATTCAAGATAGCAATTTCATCCACACCAGAGCCTCTATTTGGCAGCAAATCCTACAGCATTGCTGAATGCGTTATCATATATATTCCCCAAAAAGCTTCTTGGTGATGTTTCTCCTTTTAGTCAACACTTAGAAGCCTATGTGAAAAATAACTCGAAATGAAGTAGAGAGAAAAAGGTTAGTTGTCCCTTCATTCTAAAAGACAGGATTTTTAGTTCTTATGGGGTGACTATGGAGTGGGATCACAAATTACATTCTAAGTTCAATGCCTTTTCCTTAAGCATTTCAAGGTGCACACCAATTAGGCAAATAATATTTTGTCCCGTGCGTAGTTTAGTTCTCTGTTGCGTCTTCTTTTCTATTCATGCCCAATGCAACTGTCTAGGAACCTTCCTACCCAATACAAACCGCCTAGCAATAGCTATTTAGTGCCATGGAAACAGTAAAAGGCCATATTAACCGGGCTTACCGCTTTCTTTGAAGCCTCACTCCTTGATTCCTCAAGATTCTTAACTTCCAAAAAATCAAAGTAAAACAACATCTGACGAAGAAATGCAAGGAGGAAAAAAAAGATGATGAGTAATGGAAAAGCTGGAAGGGCTGGATCAATTTCGTCAGAAAAAGAAGAAATGAGTAAAAATGAATATGATTTAGGCACATCTGCAACAAGGACGCTTATTTATGCACAAACACACCTTGTCAAGTAAATGATTATTTGATGCATCAGTTGCCATGATCTGTACCCCAAGCAAATTGTTGGGTTTACTGCAGAAGGGGCAAAACATAGACCTGAAAACACACCCATCTTCTGGGCACCAAATTCCCTGCTCTGGAACACTTCCATTAACTCTATTGCAGATGCGTTGATCAACATATGAAATGCAAGTTATAATAACTGGTACACTTCTTAAATCATCATCATTATAACCTTTCAATCTCTGTTTCAAAAGAGATCTTAAGTGAACTTTTGATGATAAGGTCAAAGAACATGTAATATATAGATTATTCTCAGGCCGACCCAACGGGCTTCTGCAAAGTGAGCAAAATATCTGTAACATTTTCTCCATAAGAGGATCAGCTAATGACAACGAACAGGTCAGATTCCTTGTCTGCGATTGAAGTGAATTTGACTTAACTTTTTTTTGAAAATCAGATTCGTTTCTATTTGTCAACTCGCTGACATTCACCAAGCTTACATTGTGCCTTGAAGGGATGCTGGCACAGGGGGTGGTGTAATTTTTTTCCTCAATAAGGCTTATAAACGGTATGTCCATGGACTTTCTCCTTTTCTGGGTGTGAGAATTAACACTCCTATTTAAAGATGATTCTATTTCCACAGTATGACAGCTGTTTGCAGTTACATTTTTTTCAGGAGTAACTGATATTAAACACTGAGCTGTTGAAGAAGCTTTACTCCCAATACTTGAAGAAATTGGAAGGATTGACTGATCATTTAATTCAGAAGATGCCTCAATTAAGGTGGAGCTAGAGTGTTCATCCTTACAACCATAACCAGGGCAAGCAGGGATGATGCTGCCATCCATGCAAGGGGTTTCCTTCACAAGGGAGACTTCTTCATGTATAACTGCCGCAGATAATACCCCTGTGAAGCTGCAAGGGGGGAAAAGAATCTCTCAACTAGTAATGATATTGTCACTATTTGGCCATCTAGAATGGTTATTATTTTATTGAGATTCAAATTGATTTCTGATGGCACAAGAAATTCCAATTTCCACACTCTAAGAATTCATGCAGAAAAAATTAAATTTGAAGTACAAATGCAGCCTTTAAAAAAAAAAAAACAGTTTTTATATTGCAAGACATCAAAAACCCTTAAATTCCCCCTTCACCCCAAAAAGTGGGAAAAGAAAAGAAATTACCCCTTAAACGGCATGCTCTCTCAAGTATCAGACTTTAAAATTAAAGAACAAAGTTCATACTTGTGGCCTAGTTCATTATTTGGTCACCGGAAAGAAGCTACTAATGCTTAAAATATTGATCCCTGTTCTTGATATCAGTGCCAGTGGATGCACCTTCCCCAGACAAAATAGCCGAATGGGAGCAAGAGCAGAGAGCAGCAGTCTCCACAAACATAATAGAATTAGCAGAGTGTTTATGAAGGTTAGTTTTACTCATCTAGATTTAGCTCAACATCTTTTAGGATGATATCAGAAATATCAGCTTAAAATATAATAAGCCAAAGACTTAGTCAATCACAGTATGATGGTATTAAAAAGAAGATTAATACCTCACACTTGTGATGTGCCCAAAGTCAAAAACACGTATAAGAGTGCTCAAATCTGACACTTTATCATTTGGTAGCTTGAATTCCATCGTTAAGTAGTAAATATAATGATGACATTACAAGCATACAATTACCATGATACTGACTGTTTGCAGTCCTTTGGGTCAAAACAGTCTTTACAGTTGTATGCGTCACTATTCTTTTGCTCAGATGGCTGACTCTCGTCCTTGATCATTTCTATTGTTCTCTCACCACCATTATCAGACTTTAAAAGTTTCTTATTTTTCTTTCTTATAAATCCCATATTATGATCCTTGGCTTCGTCACATTCCTGGTTTAAGCTCAAATTTTGAGTGACATTTGTGCCAAACTGCTCCTGCAGTAAGCAAGTCAATCACATTAACAAAACACCTTTTTGTTTGTGAGGGTGGGGGTGAGGGGTCAGAAATACACCAAATACCTTGGCATTCTCAAAGAATGATTTCAATCCCTTCAAAGACAAGTCAAAATTGTCATATATCCTCAATGTTTTTCTTAACCACTTTGAAATGAATGCTCTATTTCTTTCATCCTGAAAACGTTCATCTAATTCCACAAGAACAATTGCATTACTGAATGAATCAAAGCAAGCTGAATGTTGTAATGCTAAGGTTACAGATCTCTAATAAACTACAATTCAAGAATAACCAGCAGCAAAGACATTGAGGAAAAAAAAGAAAACTAAAAGAAAGGGCAGAATTTTTTTTTTTTTTTTAAAGTCTAAACTAAAAATGCAGATTGCCAGCACTAATTGCTTTTTCAATGAAACATGTCAATTAACTGAGCCATTTGGAATTCTCACTATATTACAATGGTTCCATCACGTAACTGCTTGCATCAAGTTATAAGTAGTAAACTATGTTGTCCACGAATTTTTCCTCAAATAAAACATGTTGTCCATAAAAATCGAAACAATACTTAAAAGAATCCATTCCTGATCAAGCTAACAGAAAAGAAGTAAAGTTTTCAATCATTTTCCTGGGTTGCCTTATGCCTTATTAAGGCAATGAAAGAGAAGGAGAAATATAAGAGACGCCGGATAAGAAAGAAAGCCTAAGCAATGAAAATAATTACCCAATAATATGACAGCTCCATAATCAAGCCTATGCCGTATACAACGACCTACAGAAAGTAAGAGACAACATGCTGATAAATGAGAACTTTCATATCTACAAGTTAAAGTGCATAAAAGGCAAAAAAAAAAAAAAAAGGTAATATGGAAAGGAAAAAAAACAGAGCTAAGGAATAAACTTGGGTCATAATATGGGAACAACTCAATGACCATGATGCACCTGCTGCTTGATTCAAAGCTCGAAATGCTTGATGGCAATACCACTCGTTTCCACTCAAAAGATTTTTGGAAGATTTGTATGTATCGTTGTATTTCTTCTTTAGTGCCACTTGAATATCATTTCTTGTGAGAAGTCAAAACAAAGCAATCAATGAGAAAACAGATATAAACACATAATAGAATTTCATTGGCAAAAATTAAATGTTATTAATTAAAAACGTCTTACATGTTGGGAAATGGAATGCCAACTATAATCTGAGATTGTCAAGAACATTCAATATTTAGTAAACATTAATGTAGATCAATATTGGCATTTGCAATGTATGTAATTCATTGACATGACTAAGGTTCATAAGAGCTACAATTTGTTTGGGGGAAAAAAGAAAGAAAGAAAAACGATAGAAGAGCTACAATTTAATCCCGTATCTCAGCCACTACTTTTTTTGGTGATCATTTCAGCAGTAATAATAAATCCTTCTTCTAATCATCTGAGAATGATCATCTCTAATTCTCACAAAATAAACACCAACAGCCAGAAGGGAGATCTAGATTGACCAAGACAGAGAATTATGACATTTTAGAGTAGAAATAAGGATACAACCACTCGAGCATTATCATCAGAAAAATCAATGCCCTCAGAAACCTGCAGGAGGCAAAATGATGACCGAACATAGTTACATAATAAGATCAATTTCATCATGTGTACATATGTTTCAATTGTATAATGAACTCAATCTGTTTTCGTTTGTCTTGGACCAAGATACAGCCAATCTGAAATTCTAGTAGTTTAAGTAAATCTATGCCAAAATCATTTTGCATTGAACTTTCTTTGGTGAACATGTTGTATCGACCTTTTATTGTGAATATAATAGCATTAGTATCAAACATGCTCATGCATCATTGAAAGGTAAAAATTTAAAAGTTGTGAAACCATAATTGTATGACAAATGACCTTAATCAACAACCATGTATGAGCCTAAACAAAAGCTGTCAAATTATCTTGCAAAATGGGTGAGAAGGAATTTGATATCTTCTCTGCAACTTGTGTGGAAAGTCCTAAAATATATTTGTCATGCTTTATGTCAATTAACCAACACAGATAATATTATAGATATGTTCATTTACAATACACCTTGGCTCCCATGGCATACAATAAGATAGTAGTAATCTGATTATAGACCAAAATGCAGGCACTTTTTCCTCCAGGTATATTGACTTTTTAAAACCATTTGAATTGATTTCAGTACTACTTAAGCATAATGAAAGATCAATTTTCATTATTTGGATTTTAAATAAGAAATCAGGAATATTAAGCATGAGATAGGTACAATGGCAATAAACCTTTCCTCGACAAACACCAAGTAAAGCAGCTCCTCCTTTCTTAGAATTTTTCGGAGAATTGACTGCATGTAAGTGACTAAAGCCACCATTCTTAACCCTTCTTTTCCTCCCCAGTGTAGCCGTAGTGTGAAGATGAATTGAGTCATAATACCCTTTTAAAGCAAGTTCAAAATCATCCTGGCTTCCTCCTCGAGGTTCTGCATACCCACACAAGATATAAAACCAAAATGAAACAAGAGCATCGTCAAAAGACAAAATCAATTTCAAATACCAAAGTAAGTTCACTCAATGTTGGCTTTGCACAAAAGGATGAGAATAAGGAATCTGTCAATATTAAGATAAACCCATTGCTTATTCACTAAATTCCAACGAGTATTAAGAAAGGCAGAAGAATAACTGACCAACAAAAAGTGACTTTTCTGCATTTAGACGAGACCATTGACCTGTTTCGGACCATCGATTGCACAATTTCTCCATTAATTTATAACTTGGAAAGAAAACAAGACAACCACCTGGAACAGTTTTGAAGATTTCCTCTAAAGATCTCCCAACTGCATCCTATAGAGACACGTACAATAATAGTCTGTTCACATAGGCAAAGAAAAACTGCTGGGACAGAAAAAGTTGTAACAAGTACCTGAAATGCATATCCATCTGCCGTTTTATAACTTGCATTCAGAGGATAATTACCTGGACCGGTACAAATTATAGCAGGCCAGACCTGTATTGAAGAGGTCAAACATTGCTTGAAGCAGCACTTACAAGAGTAAAAGGTCAAAGACAACTGACAAAGTGCAAAGATAGAACCTGAGAGTCAACATTAATTACATGCGGAGCTTCCAGACTACTTTCAAACTGAACTCCTAGCTCAGATGAAAAGGAGTTCATTGGTGACAATGTCCTAAAGTACCAAACCAATGCGCGTGAGAATACTTAGTGGAATAATTACTTAATTAGAGGGGTTAATGAAAAAAGACATGCAAGGCGAAACTGATCCCGCTGCCCTACAACATCTGGTCCATATTCTGGGTCTTGTACAAATTGATACATGCTTACACAAATAAATGTGTGGTCCAGCAGTAGTGCTTTCTTTTGGGACATCACAACAGAAAACAGGCTGCTTATGAGATTTGACTGTTCCAATAAATTTATTTAGCCACAAGCATTCATGGGCAGAACTGAGGAATACATAAAGAACTATAGCCTGAATTTTGCATAAACTTGGCCCAGGGAACATACCCAGAAGTCAAAATGACTGATAAAGAAAGATTGGCAATGTCACTGAACACAACTGCTGGATTCAAGCACCATAAACTCAAAGTGTGGGTCCAAGTTCCCAAAGATCTTCCTGACATGGTAATATAACACTGATTACAGGGCTGTCCTAGCAGCACCAAACATAATGCAATTAATCAATTTATCCGTTCATTTTATTGCCAAATCAGGAGCAAGAGTTACTATCTAGGGCTCTGCTTGTTTCAACTACTTACCAGCTTCTTTCTTCACACTTCGCTGCAGTGCAAGCTGGTAATCCAGCATGTGAGAACCATTTCTTGAGAAGAAATAAGCTAGTGAAGAGAATAGGCCTGAAACAAGATTGCCATAGAACATCATCAATGATATAATGTTCTACAAATAAAACAATGCCATACACAACCATAATTCCACACCTTCCAGGGTTATCACTGACATGCCACTTAAGCGTGGTAAATCTGACTCCAAATCTGAAGCAACTTTGATTGCCTTAAACAAAAGACTAGCTCGATAAGTGACAGACAAGCAAAGAAATTAGCCCAAATACAAATGAGATACCTTGGTAGCACATTCTAGCAAGATAGGGAAGCACTGAAGTGAAATATTTGCTTCTTGCAGTTCTGTTAAAGCATTTGACCCAGTCCAACTATACATACAAACAACCTAAATTGTTAAAACTCATACACAATTTGTAGACTAGAAGTCGCTAGAGATGTAAAGACACTAGTTTTCGAAGTATTAATTCAGGTAAGATAGAAAAAGGAAAGAAAAATCAAATAGAAGGTATGAACTCCAATCAATTCATCATTTTTCACCCAGTAAACAACAGGAGAAAGTATACATCTAAATGGTCCAGTCAGTTAAAATAAAAGATCAAATAGGGAAACAAAAACAAAAGTTTGAGCCATAAATGTTTCAGCATCCATGAAATGGCATCTACTAAAAGTATATACCACAATGAAGTGATTAAAAACTTTTGAAATACCCCCACAGACCTCAAAACAATAATAAAAATACTTAATTGCTAATTTTCTGAACATATTAAAAATCTCAGATTAGATAGGGCCAAAGAAAGACATACATTACTCATGAAGAATAGAAATGATATAACATTCAACATGTTCAAAGTTAGCAATAATATCTTCCTGTTAGAAAGATTCATATTAATCATACTGTGACATGCAAAAGTGAAGTATCTTATGCTGTACACATTAGCATATCGATATGATTGAATACGACTATTGAATACAACTATTTATTCTTATTATCTTGCTGATCATATCATATTTACTGAACATAATATAATGTATTTGGATTTGGGATACAGTCTATGGTGCATGAATAAAAACAATGGATAGAGATGTGAAAAAGGAAGAAAACCCTGACTTACCAAGATACATAGTGCTGAAAATCACGCTTTTCTAGTTTATTTTTCCTACGTTCTATCCAGCTTGTAAGACCCTGCAAAATTGTACCTCTCATAAAAAGTGTACAACTAATGGGGGCATGTTTAGAAGTCAAACGTTTCTGGTTCAAATTCAGCATCATAATTCATTACCAGCACCATTTCATACAAAGGTTGGTATATCAGAGCATTGAAAGGGCAAAGTTGTTGAAGCTCCATTTGCAGCTCTTTCAAGATAATAACAACCATTTAGAATCATATTAACCAAGAATCAAAACAAAAGCTGCAAGGTTTAGAACATACTATCCAAAACATCCTCTTCAATGTCAACACTACCAGCATCGCGAGTGATATCCTCTATATTACTGCAAACAATTGAGGCTAGTGAAGAAAAATTCCCACATAAAACAAGAAAAGGCAACAAAGAATGTTCTGAATATTTTTGCCTGTACTTTAATAGAAATAAACCATTAATATGTAGAGTGAAGACAAGAAGTCTGCTACTCATTCATAAAAGTTAAGGGACGTTTGAGAGAAAGGAAAAAAAGGAAAGGAAAGATGCAAGGAAAAACAAAAATACAGAATCGGAAATAAGTAGTTGACCAATTTGAATAAGGAAATGAGCCATTAGGCATTAACAGGGAAAATATCACATAGTAATGTGTGATCATCAACCAGATCTGAAGAAATTAATGTGTGATTTCATCATCCAGAACCAGAGAGAAAGAAGCTGGGGTCATTAATGCCCTGTCACGAACACCAGCTACAAAGAGAGGAGAGTGATTTCCAACAGCTAGTTACAAAACAAGAGAAACGGCCCATTTTTAAAACAACTAAACAAGTCATTCATTCAGGTTAAAGGAATGCAGTCTCCCTATCTGGATGGACTAGCATGAACCTGATGCTATGTAAAAGATATCCTGAACAGCTACATACATTTAAAACAAGGAAAAGAAATTCAATTTTATGAGATTCCTAAATTGCTCCATTTTCTAGGAAGCAGTTATTAATGATAATAAAATTACTCATGGACCTCCACTTAAAAAGTAAAACTTCTGAATTGAAATACCCTTTGACATAGGATCAAAACCTGTATGACAAAGCCATCAAGATTTTGACCCCAACATTCTTCAACTAAAGATTAAGTTTTAGTGCAAGATATGTTGGGCCTGTGCTTTGTCAATCAGTAATTTATACTTAGGAAGCATTTGTGAAAGAGGGCATTTTAGAAAATATAACAAAATTATTCATGGACCTTTTACCTTCAGTCAACAAGTTTAAGCTTTAGAGATGTGAATATTTTGTGTGCCATAGAAAGTATATTTTATTCATAGGCAGCGGAAGATTAAAAAGATACAAGCACTCAATCATTATGAGGCATATGCCATAATGTCAAGATCCTAGGTATAGAGAATACAAGATAGAGAATAAAATAAAATCTGTAACAGAGAAGGGAATAACGCTGATTACCAGCAGAAAGAAAAACTAAGACAAACCAAAGATAAAAAGATAAACAACTCACTGGGCTTCATCCAGAATCACAATGGCTCCTTTTATATCTACATCCATTGCTCCCCGAATGACTGGATTGATAATATAACTATAAGGACAAAATACCAATTGCGCATCATCTGACATAGAGCGAGCTGCATAATAGGAGCAACCTGAAAGTATAAAATGTCTTTGAGACATGTATTAAGATAACACAGGTGATATAGTAGACAAAACGATGAAATCTTCCCCAAAAAGACAAATATTAAAAAGAATACAATAAGAAGAAGCCTAACCTTTCACTGCTTGTCCAACTTTCACGAGATCTTCTATATCATGTACCTCATGACATCCTCCTCTTTGTAGGGATGGGTGACTTTTGACTTTATGTGCATTTCTGTTTAATTACAAGTTTCTGATTTCGGCTACTTTCATTATAGATTGAGATATGGTATATTAATACTAGGAAGGATGTGTAGGTAAGCACATACTCACTTGAATTCTGGGCATCCTATTGCCTGATCTTTCAAAAGCAGTTTACTGGCATCGTTTAATAAAACATATCAGTATGAAAATCAGTAAGTCAACAGCAATTCATAAAGTAAAAAATTCTTGGGGAAAAACAACCATTCTTCATCAATGTTGTCTTTGGCTAATATATGTTTATTGGTACAGTAATGTTTCCGCGATGCCTGTCAAAGAAAGCAAAAACAAATTATCAAAGTGATAAGAATTAAGAAATGGTAAGAATTAAGAAGAGGTGTAAAAGAGAGAACGGGAGAAAGGAATGAGGACACTATAATCAACTTACAAGATACCCTTCTTCCCACCCCTTTATATATCCATAAGATTCAACTAAATAACTAGCTAGCAAAAGAAAATCCCTAACAGTCATTTATTTCATAACAATACAGCCCTTCAAAATGGATAAAGAAATAAGGAAATCTATTACTGACTTTCAAGGCACCCCTTTACACCTCTATTTAGCCCTTTACACCTCTATTTGGCCCTTTACCCCTTTACATAGCCATCAGATGCCAATTACTAACAGTGTAATCCCTAAACGCCAACCCTTACAAAACACAGTGAAACCCAAATGACTATACTAATACCTTACTTAAAAAAGATCACATAGTTGCATAATCCAAAGATGACTAGTTGGGGTACTGACCTTGTAGGGTGATTATTTCAAAAAAAATTTCTTGCAATGGAACCCTCAATATATAGTTCATGATCACGTTTCATTCAAATTGGGAATTGAATGGAAGCTTATTATATCAATTTAAAATTGATATAAAACATATTATCAAACACAAGAAAATATAACCTTATAAAATAAGAGTTAGGCAGAAGTGTATGCGTGGAGAGTAATTGCGTGCAAAAAAATGCTGCTGGGGCAAACCATAAAAATGTACATTGGTTTCTTAAAATTAAGTAAATAAAAGTAAATTACTCATAAGAACCATAAATTATCAGAAAACCTTACCCTTGAGGGCAGTTTAGATTAAAAAGGAAAAAGAAACAAAGATACAAAGCAGTGGATTTCACCTACCAGCACAGCCATAGGCACCCTATAAGATGTTTTCCGCAATTCACGAATTACTTGAGAAATTTGTGAGTGTGTCCTCCTTATATAGACAAGAGACATCGAAAGATTTAGTCAAGTGATGATGACGATGATGGTTGACGGGAGAATAAGTAAGATATCAATTAAATATATGCCAATTCTACTCAAAAGTCAAAACTTCTTACAAAGTTAAAACTCAGGTGTCATCTAGTGCCAGTGAACTTTCGAAAAGCATGAAGATTGGCTAGCAATTGCCACCAACATGTAGCAATAATTGTCTCTTTTGGCATCTTCCAATTTATATTAATATGCTTTGCCATTGGCTAACTTTAGTTCAGGAATAACCGGTACCTAATGTTGGTTGCTTTCTGGTATTCTCATGTCTTTCAAGTGATTTGTCATCCTCTTAATTGTCCTAAATAACTGTGACTTCCGCTGTGAACAAGCATGGCACAGTTATAAATGTGCGTGTGTGTATGAACACTTTCTAAGGTATTTTATATGACACAGTAGTGTCCTAAAATTTTACGGGCATGTAATGCACAAGTATCTTAAAATTTTGTAAGCTACATGTGCATGTACCATTGCTTCGTAGGAGTGAACCGTTTGCTAATGTTTTAGAATTACTGATAGCATAAATGAATGAAGCAAAGTCTAAAATAACCATCTATTCATAATTTTCTTAAACATTTACAAATAATTACTTATGCAAATTATTCAATTGGTAATACAATAGTTAAACTTACGAAGCATAATATATAGTGGGAGCAGCCTTTTTCTTCTGCATCTTGTTAGCCTCAGTCTCTGGTAGCTCCATATTTTCTGATGCTGAAATCAAGTAAGCATTGCTTGAGGACAATAGTATACCAAAGAAATAAAACATCGGATTGACAGATATAGGAATAAAGTGTGTAAATCACAAGCATGTGGCACCCTGAACGTTAATATAATAATTTGATCTTCATAGGCATAGCAGACGAGCCCTAATACGTTAATTTGGGGCAGGTCAATGCTCTGATTGTGAAACCCCCATGACTATATCAGTACAAAAACGTGGAAGAAATATCTTGCTTCAATGAACATCATTTGGAAATTCATCGTGAAAAAAAAAAATCCAGAGAATTTTTTATACTATATCTTTTTACCACGATATCAAACAATTTTCCTTATTTCTTGCAAAGTTGAACGGCTGAGATATATTGATAGATATCAGTAAAAATGCCGAGATACGCTATACAATTGATCTCCCTCTGTCTTCTTAAGACCTATAGAAACTTAAATGATGATGACGGTGATGATTATGCATCAGTTCTTAGTACAGTCAGCAGGAAGCCCCTTACTCGGAGAAACCTCATCGGGAACAAATCCACCACCGTAAACAAGAGGGTCTGTCGTTGCTTCTGGAGCGGGCTTCAGGTGAGAGAGATTTGTGTGATGTTTATTTGACTTGTAGTTCTGCTGCCAAGCGAGAGACGAACAGAGAAGCGAAAGAGACTTCCCAGTACCAGTTGGAGACTCAAGCAATGCGTGACAATGTCCTTCTCTCTGAGCCCGGTTAAGGGTAGAGATGACTCTACCCATGAATGCAAACTGGGAACCGTATGGCTGGTAAGGAAATTCCACTTGAAGGCCTCCGATGTGATACACATTTTTAGGGTTCTTGGCACTCATCGGTTTTGCAGAGACCATCTCTAGGCTTTAGCTGAGGAGTTCGGCAGAGTACATGAGTATCAGAATCAGATATGATATTCCTGGGAAGCTAACTCGTGAATCGTGACAAAGTGCCCTGTTACCCCGGGGCATTTTTTTTGGAGGGAATCTGAGCTTGGTGAATTTGCAGAAGGCGGTAAGATTTTTTTTTTTTCAAAAAAAGGAAGGCGGCAAGATTTCCGTATAAACTTAAGTACTTAACGCACTATTTTGGATCGTGCTGAAATCAGCCTTGTAAACATGGTTTACACGAGTGAAGACTTTCCTGAGATACTTATCTATTATTTTTTAAATTATAATTAAAAAATTATTTATAAATCAATGTGGTGTATTCAACTTATAAATTTTAAGTTTGTTAATGTATAGTTTTAGTTTTAGTCTTTGAACAACTTCATAAAAAAATTTAATTTTGATAAAATTTAACGAAAAATATTTTCAATTATTTAGTCTTAAAATGATTGAGATCATTCTATATAATATATTAAAACAAAAACTCCCCAAACTTTCTAAGCTACTTTAATATTCTGCCCAAGAATTCAAAAAGTCCCCATACGTTATCATAATGAAAAATAACATAAAGTCATGCTATCCTCATAGTCGGTATTAGGCATTAGCATATATAATATAAATTATTGGGTATTAATATCAAAATTAATATTAATAGTATCCCAATAAGTTTCATTCATATATTATTAGTGTTTATGAGACAGAACAGGACTACCCTTGTCCCGTTCTGATAATTGGGACGAAACAGCTTTTTCCTCCCATCTTATCTTAGTAGCGTCTTGTCCCAATCAGGACATAAATAGAAAGTGACATGGACATCTCATCTTTTTTTTATCATAAAAACTATATGAAGAGAATAAATAAAAATGAGGAAACAATAGTAAAGAAAAAAATACAAAAGATAAACAAATTTAAAGTGTTCACTACAAATAATATCATGTAACTCATACAAAACAACTTATAAACAAATAAAAATAATGTATGATAAATATCATTACCAAAATACTATTATAATGATGAATACAATAAATTTATGACAATTTAAAACAAAAATAATATATTCCGTTCCAAAATAATTTTGTTCCGTTCTACTTTCGTCTTATCTGAAAAACTTTAACTGAGGTGAAAATGAGACACTAAGACGAAACACAATTAAACAATCTATCGTATACTTTGAAAATCACCAATACATTTAAAAAATAATGAATTTTTTTTATTGGTTGCTTATGGAGGTTATTCCGTTTTCCCCAATGGTTTCTGCTAATGTGATTTTTTTTTTTCAAATAATGATATTTGACAATATGATTTTATGAATATGTACAGTATGTTTAGGGTATCGATATTTCAATTAAAAATTATTATTACGCATTTAATTTCAATTATTTTCCTTTTTTGTAATGACTGACTACCTCAATGACCTTGAAGATATACTTAACCCAATGTAACCCAATTTGTTGAATGTTGAATAAATTAGTTATTAAAATTGATGATTGATGATTGATGTCACCTCATCACTGTAGATCACAGGAACTCCAACAATCTCTGTTAACAGCTGTGATTTCTCTGAGCAAGTTTGGCTTATGAAGCGTACTAAATAACTCACAGAAAACAATGAATAGTTAATGAAATAATGCAAATGTCCCGAAACATCCAATTATAGTTTTTAGAAAAAAAAATGCATTATTGCTGTAAAAAGTCAAGGAAGTGTAGTAGACATTCATTTACTAGATATTTAATCAATTTAATATAAAACCTGTTTAACTAATTTGATTATATTAATAAAGTTAGATAAGTTAGTTAATTATAAAAAATATGATATGTTTTTTTTTAAAATATCATAATTATCTTTTTTAATGTCTTTCCTCCCTATCTTACCTGACTATAGTTGAGGAAATATAAATAGTGATAATTTAGAAAAAAAAACCTAATAAACATGTGAAATAAATTTTTTCATTTAGGATCAAAATCAGCTCAATAATATTAAGGACTAGAAGAATACAATTCATTTTTTCAAGATTGCCATGTACGACTTTTTACCACCTCTAATCCTTAATATATAGCTTGTTTTATTTTTATTTTAATAATAAATAAAAGACCTCAATCCACTTTGTCTCTCATATTTACCTATTTTTTCATAAAATAGTCTTAATAATAATAATAGTTTTAACCAATACACTTGATTAACAAGATTATTTTAGGAAATACAACAATTATTTATTACAAATAATTAACTTAACTAATTTTTTTTTAATTTGTTCAAATTAATCAACTAACTCTTGTATTAAGAATTGGGAGTAGTATTAATCTACCACGGGGTGTTTGGGTGAAAACAAAACTATGATTTAAAAATATTTTTACCGTTTATAAAATAAATATATGAAAGAATTTATCTCGATTTAAAAGAAAATTTTAAAAGAGGTTTTTCGGTAATCCAAAAACCACCTGCATTTCGTAAGCTAACTGTGGCTAAAAAAAAGTAGGAGTAGTCGTTAGCTTCAATGACCAGCCTCCGGGAAAACCCTGACAGCTGGCCGCGAGGCAAGGGGGATAAGGTGGCATTTTAAAAATGATCTTTTTCTGTGAATGAACAATATTATAAAAATACCAACCTTTTAACAAAGAAGAGTTGGCTGAAACTTAAAACAAAACTTGATTCTGCTTTGAAAATGTTTAAAATAAAACTTTTCCGATAAATAACTAGATCAAAAGGAGTATAAAAAGCAAAATAGGACAAATGGTATCGTTTTTGTTATAGCAAAAAATACCAAAATAAAGACGACAATGAATAAATAATCTCGTCGCCTATAAAAAAAATGAATAAATAATATCGTCAAATATTTTGAATTTTTTTATAAACTTTCCTTTACTTTCTCATAGCTTCCTTGCTCTGCCGCCATGATTAGAAGCTGTCCAGCCAACCTGGATTTGGAAAGCCTGGTGGGGTCAATGGCGGGTGATGACGTGGTTCCACCGTCTCTCTCTCTAACTCGAGGACTATTAGCAATGAGTCAACCCTCTCTCTAGCGGATTTTATTTTTCATCTATTTTGAAGGAAGCTTTCGCGACTACTTCTTGTTCCGTTGGTCCTTTCTCGTTTTATCAGTTGCAAGCCCTCAACCCCATCTCCCCGTCCTTCTCCTGTCTTCTAATCACCACTGTTTACCATGGGACAGGAAGATATTTGCAGTGTGATCAACTTTCCTCCAGAATTCCATTTTGGTATCTGTGTTTAATTGTGAAATCAAAAGTAGGGTTTTCCAAAGGACCCCTGCTGTTTCTTACAAGTTGGGAAAGGTACACTTCTTCGTAAGCTCTGTGTTGTTTTCAATATCAATATTAAGGTTTTATTTCTTCTCCTCGTTCTCTGCTACTCGTGGTCAATTTTATAGTTCCTCCAAGAGACTCTTCCTTAATTCGTTACTTTGGTCGGTAATCATCATTTCAGTATATTATTGACTAAGACGGAGCTCAGTACCTGCTCTAAATGAATTTGGATTTAGTCTGAATTACTTGGAAGAGCACTCAGTTATTAAGATAATTCAATTGAAAAAAAAGTTGGATCGATTTGTTTATAACACTGGGAGATTTCTAAACTACAATACGTAAATATTAACACTGAAGCATTGACGAATTTTGTCTCATTTGTCATGGTCTCACTTTTCATCGTAGTGGAAAATTCACGGCATTTAAATGGACTCTGACTTCATCTGGTTAACAATTCAACGATTTTTATTCCCCCCCCCCCCCCCAAAAAAAAAAGCTTCTGAGTTCTGACACTAATTTATCAGAAATTCTAATTCGGATGTCTGGCTCTATTCTATAACGAGCTCAAGATTGACATCCGTATTCTAAGCATTTCAATGGGTGGGGTCATAGTTTCAAAACTTTTTTCTTAGCTATTGCATGATTTTGTTGACATCAATGTTTCTCCGTGATATTGATGCTACTACTATGATGCTCATAAACTATCACTAATGATAACTTCCAGAAATTGTCTTATGTGATCTTCCTTGTTGCAATAGGCTGCTTGATATGATGGCTGCAAGCTGGGATGGAAGTAATGACCCTGGCAGCCAGTCAGATGAGAGCTATCATTTTGAGAGGCTGCATATTGAGCCTATTTATGATGCTTTTGTATGTCCACTAACAAAGCAAGTTATGCGTGATCCTGTCACGTTAGAAACTGGACAGACTTTTGAACGTGAAGCAATTGAAAAATGGTTCAAGCATTGCACCGTGAGTGGGCGCAAACTAGTTTGCCCTTTGACTCTGAGAGAACTAAAAAGCACAGAACTAAATCCCAGTATTGCTTTGCGTAACACCCATTGAAGAGTGGACTGCAAGGAATGATGCAGCACAGCTGGACATGGCTCGGAGGTCATTGAATATGGGTAGCCCTGAAAATGATACATTACAGGCTTTACATTATATCCAACACATCTGCCAAAGAAGTCGGTCTAATAAGCATATGGTCCGCAGTGCGGGGCTTATACCTATGATTGTTGACATGTTGAAGAGCAGTAGCCGTAAGGTTCGTTGTACAGCTTTGGGAGCCCTTAGAATTGTCGTGGAGGAAGACAATGAGAATAAGGTTGTCACAGGTTTGCTGGTTATCTTTTCTTTTTCATTTGTAGTTTGATATCATCAGTGTGATTGCTGAGGCTGCTTGGTAACGTCTTTTCTTTGCTCCAAAGGAATTGTTGGCTGAAGGGGACACTGTGCGTACAATTGTAAAATTCCTTTCTCATGAGCTCTCTAAAGAAAGAGAGGAAGCTGTCTCTTTGCTTTATGAGCTTTCAAAATCAGAAACTCTGTGCGAGAAGATAGGTTCAATCAATGGGGCTATTCTTATATTAGTTGGAATGACCAGCAGCAAATCAGAAGATATTTTGACAGTTGAGAAGGCTGAAAAAACATTGGAGAATCTGGAAAAGTGTGAGAATAATGTGCGACAGATGGCTGAAAATGGTAGACTGCAGCCTCTTCTGACACAACTGCTTGAAGGTGCTCATGTTCCCCAAGATTTTTTTTTTCTCAACTTATACCCTTATTCTGGGGCCCACTTATGCATCAT